ATTTTTATTCAGCAGGGCAACCAAAGATTTTCATATTCAGTTGAACTTTATTTTTCAAGAAGAAAAGTAACAAGTCAGCTCTGACAAATTCACATGAAGCTTATTTTAAATTAACCATAAGAAACCAAAAGTGAAGTTAACACATATTTGAAAGAAGAAAACTTCCAATATATTAGAAAATACATTTTTATCAACTACTCATTTTCCTCATGACACATTTTTATGAAGTTAAATCAACTTCAAACACGATTTGATTTCACAGCTTTATTTTTTCACTTTATCTGTAAAGACCAAAATAAACCAGATATTTAAATTAATCTCATATCATCTTGTTTGTTATTATTAATAATAAAAATAAATTACTGCTTCTGTTATTTAAAGCATTTGTACAAAGGTTTGCTACTGTTGCGTTCAGGGTTTTGTGCTCACTCCGGTTTCACTTCATGCCGTGCTGGCTCTCGTGGTGCCGGCGGAGATCCACCTTGCGTTGGAAGCCTTTGGAACAAATGTCACATCCGAACGGCTTGAATCCCGTGTGTTTCCTGCTGTGGGTGATCAGGTTGGAGCTTTGACTGAACGCTTTGCCGCACACTTGGCATTTGTGAGGTTTTTCACCTGTAAAATACAAATAAAAAAACAATATGAAATCAACAGGATAAAATCAAAGATCATGTTTTCAATGATTTGTGGGGGAAAAAGGAGCTTAAACTTCGTTTCCACTGGCTCTGGAAAATCACATTTTACATGCACATGCACCACAAATGGTGCCAAATGTTTTTACCACGAAGATAAAGTTAATATTCATATGAATGAGGGAAGAATCCTGCCATTGTTCAGACATTTGTTTGCAACAAATGTGGGCTGCATGAAGTTCCTTTCACAAAGCTGCGTGTGAAGCAGGATAGGCAAATCAACAGGACATTTGTTTAAAGTTTCTTTTTCAGATTTATCAGCAGTTATATTACTCCTGGAGTCTCTGTACTTAGAGAGCAGATGATTACAGTGAGAGGAGCCATGCACAGTCCAACTTGTTTTTACCACACATCCATATCGAGACTTACCGGTGTGAATGTACGTGTGTTTCTTCATGTCAGACTTCTGGTGGAACCTCTTGCCGCAGTACTGGCAGGGGTACGGCCTCGTGTCCGAGTGGATGAGCAGGTGTGTGGAGAGAGTGGACGAGCGCTTGAACGATTTTCCACACATCTTGCACTCGAAGCTTTTTTCCTGATCAGAAACAAAAGTACGACCAAAGTGTTACACAGAAACACGGACAGTCACAGTAAAGGTCTTCATCAGTAAATGGACTTTGCCCAGTTTTCAGGAAATTGTAGATGTAACAATATTTTTCTACATAAATTATTTCAACAGCTCAGATTTCCTGAGTGCTCTGAAATTTTTTGTGTGCAAATTTCACGAGGAGGATCATGGGATATGATTGAACAAGCTTCTTTTTTATTTCATGTTATTTAGTTTTACTCTTTCTTGTATTTTGCATTGTGCAGATAAACCAGGTAGGAAGATTTTTATAAAACGCTCTGCAAACAAATAAAGAGAGGTGCATTATGAGAAATATAGCATTCAGTATTTCCAAGGTTAATTCACACAAAGGGTCTAAAAGTGTGAATGTCTCAGCGTCTTCTCTGCTACTTGATTCTGACTCTTCAGAGTGTCTCTGACAGCTCATCCAAACTTTATGAAAGGGTTCTGCTGAATTGCTGGAGTTTGTTTTGCTGATATACCTGAGAGTGGACATTCATGTGTTGCTCCAGACTGACTGCGTGACCGAAGGTTTTTCTGCAGATGTTGCAGCCGAACGGCCTCGTTCCGCTGTGCGACCTCCTGACGTGGACCTCCAGTCCGTGTGGGGTTGAGAACACCTGAAACAGAGTTTTACCATCAGTGACTCCTGCTGATGAAATCAAATCAATATGAAAATCCTAAATCCCAGATATTTTCTATTATGTCCTCCATGTTGTAGGTCATCATGTGGCAGGTACCTTGTCACAGGTGATGCAGTGGTACGTGTTGGAGGTGGGGGAGTAGTGCGTGCTGCAATCCAGAGGCTGCTGAGGCTGTGGGCTGCGGCTGATGTGGGTGCCGTACAGATTGCTGGCATGCTGCAGCACCGTGGGGCTGAAAGTCACCTGACGCAACTCGAAGGCTGAAGGCACCTGCTCCCAGGCGTACGACGGATTGTAGTAGGGGGGGAATTCTGCCATGTGAGGTTCTGAGGTTGCAGACACAGAAAAAGAAGTTTGATTTTACCCTCTGATTTGGAGTGATGCAGAAGGGGAAAGAAGGAGATGCATTATTTGCAGCTCACCAGTGAGGAAGTATGGCTGTGTGGGAGCTGCAGGAGGCCTGGTTGGCTCTGGATGAACAGGTAAGGGACAGGTGAGCTCTGGCTCTTCCTTCTCAAATGAGGAGCCGTCCGGAGGGGAGAACTCCCCCTCCGACTGAGGCCCGTCTGAAGTTTCTGAGGTGTGAAGTGCTGGTGTTACTTCTGCAACAAACAAAATGAGTAGGACTGATTCAAACAGAAGGCGTCACTCTGTGTGTTTATGGACAGCAAGTAAACACAAAACCCTGCAGCTCCTCTTGGAGGACATTTAACACACAGTAGATATTCAGTCAGTGCTCAATCTTTCAGATTTGAACACTGATAATGAATGACACCTGCATGATTAATACATTTTAAATGTTCAATACACAGCAAGCTACTCTAAAGTTGTTTTTTAGATAGATAAAAGTAGACAGCAGCAGTTTAGATGTCCCATCATCGTGTCCCTCGTGTATTCACACTAGTAATAAGTCTCACCTGTCTCTGTGGAGGCCTTGGGATCCTCTTCATAGGAACGGTGGACGTTATAGGACGTGCACCTTTTGTTTTTCACCAGAAATGACCGGGGCATGTTGATCCTACACCAGAAGACAAATTATAATGAGTTGTTAATTAAGAGGTTTGATCGAGTTTAAACGGCCGCTGGATGTTAACTTCTCATCGGATTAACGTAAAAAACAAAAACAATTTGACCACTAAAAATAATAAGACAACTATTTTACCATAGTAATTAATAATAGGAATTAGCTGTAAAGGGCGAACGAGGGCTTGTAGAAATCAATTTTGTTTACATTTTAGCAGCTTGAAGGACAATTATAGTAAATTGCACATTTTCAAAAGGTGTTTAAAAGTTTTTTGAAGTTTCATTTTAGTTTATAAGATACTTTTAGGCCTGTTTTATTAAGTTGTGGCTACTCACCGTGAACGGAGCAGGTTCCAGTCCAAATTAAGAGCGTCTCAAAAAATAGTAACGATGAAAAATAATATTACAAATATAAATATTTAATGTCCCTTCGGTGGAAAAGATGAGTGGAGGGAGAGAACGCGTCGTTAAATCCTTTCCTTCAAAGTCAGAAAAGCAAAGCAGTGTTTTAAGAAAGCATCTCACTCCGCTGTCTCTTTTCTCCCCTCCCTCATATCCAATCAGATAATTTCACAGGGGAATCTGAGTGTGGTTTCCACCAATGAGAGGGCAGAGCTGCAGAGGGAAATTTGCCTAGAAAAACACTGGGCCTTCGCAGCAGTTATACCAAACAGCAGGTGAAGCGAAAAAGAATAATACAATCCACAATACAAGGTGATGATTTAAACACATTTCAATGATTCGGTCAATAAATCCATGTATTTCCAACTGATCTTGTAATAATGACTTTGCATTGAAAAACACAACATGTAACCAGCATCTACATTTTCAATTTGAACATTGCAAAAAGGACAATGTCTACCCCCCCAAAATCCGAACAATTATTTCCACCTAACAGTGTTTGATTTGCATGATTCAGATGTGTGTTGTGTGCAAGATTTAAACGAACATAAACAAAATAATGTGACAGTGTAGCACCTCCAAAGATACACACACCAAACCAGTCCGGGAGATTTATACTGCATCAACATGGATGTTCAGTCAGATTTCATCCCAGCAGGCTCTAATGTCACATAACAGCTGCAGAAGAGGAGCTCCACCAGGGATGATAGAAATAAAGTGAAATAATAATGATTATAATTATAATCATGTGAAATCGTGTTAAATGAAAGGAGAGAAGGGGATCTACATGAGGAGAAAAAGTGCAGGTGTGCCATCTTGTGGTCTGAGTGTGTACCTTCACTGTATTTTATTTGTGTGCAGAGCTTTTTAGAGACAGGCAGAGTGAAGTTAGAAAGCTTTGTGTTCATCCCACCTGGTTTATCTGCAGTGGAGATTTAATCAGGTTTCATACATGACGTTTTCCAGAGGTCCGAAGTAGATTTTTCAAAAATACAAGCTCTGTAATTCAGCTCGATATGAAGCAGTGTGGCAACACAAACAACATCCTGCATTTACTTTGAAATAATAAAACAATCTACATGATCTGGCTGTGATTTTGACCCAAGGTTTGATCCAGTTGCTGATGACTGTTGCAGTTTATCCGAGGACGTAGAAGAAGACATGTTGGACTCACACAGCCCCCACTGATCGTTGCATAGCACTGGTTGCTTATTTTCTATTGAAATCAATGGTATTGTTTGTCCAAATGGCACCAAATCTGACTTTGCACTTCCCTGCACTAACGATACACATGCTAAGTGCATGTGTGGAGCTCTGCTGTCTAGTTCACTGTATTGTCAGGCCTGCAGATTGCTCGGAATAATTTGGAGTTTAGATCGAGGCTGCAGCTGTTGCAATGAGATTTAATGTTACATGAGCAGAAAGAGAATTTAAAGACAATATCTGGAACAACAGGAAGATAAAATGTCAACATATTTTATGATGTGCTCTAAATCAGAGGAAGTTTTTTAAAGTCAAGCTTTTGATTTGACTCTGAAAATAGATTTTTTGTTTCAGTTTTTTCTCAAACATTACAAACTTTATTTTTTAATTTGACAAAGAAAATGAACCTGGTGAAAAAAATAAGACTAATTTGCGCGTGCGCTCTGAACATGTGGGTCACGCGAAACCGCATTACACTCGCTCCATCCTTCCACCAATGAGGAGACTGGAAAAACAACATTAGCTTTGCGATAGAGCCGAAACCCCGATCGGACCCGGCGTTATTCAAACTTCTGAGTCGTTACGTGTGATTTGTGAAACTTATTTCTCATATTTTTTGCGGTAAATCCGCCGCCAAAGTTGCGGCTGCGACTCGCGGCGGCGATAACTTGTGGGATTAGTTCGTATGCAGCCCGACAGCGGAGGGTGACAGCGGTGGGATGGGCTGTGAGGTGTTCAAGATGGCGGCGCCCTGTGGAGTGCAGCTCCTCTAACAGGTAAACAGCTCCGATTATTCTCAGCTAACGTGCTTTTCTCACAGCGAATCTCACCCCGCGGGACCCGTGGGGTCCACCGGGGGCTGTTGGGCCTCCGTCCCCGCCGTGTGACCGCGGCTGACAGGCGGGATGAACCCCGGACCGAGCGCGGGGTCGCTGCTGCCAGCTAACGTTAGCTCTCGGCGGTGGGACTGGCTTGTTTTCCGAGTGATGGGTTTTAGTGGATGTCGCTGCTCTCGAACGCCTCGTCGGGGGTTTGTACTGCGTGTTCGGTTCGCCGTGGGTCGGGTTCGCGTGGCACAGGCCGCCCGTGTGGTTTTAAGAACGGGGGGTGAAGTAAAACCCAACCCTGCCCATTGTTCTCTGCGAGTTGTTTACGACAGGCAGCAGCAGCAGCAGCAGCAGCAGCCAGTGGTCAGTCCGCACACAGCAGCAGCTTCTCCTGCAGCTGCCTTCACCCTGCACCTCAATCCACTGTGCCACTGTGCCACCAGGGCCTCTGTGCTTACACGACTTACACTCTGCTTCATTCCAACATTAAGATCCTCGTGCATCTCTCTGCTTTAAAACAAATATCCTGCAGCCTGACTTTGTTTTTTTCTAACTGTCATCACTCATTCGTATCCTGTTAGACATTATGGAGACATGACTCAGTCACGTTCACCTCCTCAGCCCCTCTGTCATATTAACTTTATAACTTGTATGTATTTTTAAAAGGGACGGTGTACATTCATTGACATGAGCTCATACACTCATTTTCATCTTGATGTTAAAAAGAAAGCAGACAATTGAAAGTAGTGATTCATTCTATGGGTTATTGTTCCAGGTTATGTGGTGATTGTGAAAAGGTACTTTTCCAAATGTTATTCAAGAACACCCCCCCCCCCTCGGTTCAGTTAGATGAACTCATTGAGTGGAGGGGGAGCCGAGCCATGAAATATTGCACAGCTCTCACTGTTGCTGTGTTCAGTCTTTCAAAATGCAAACCTGCCTGATCAGGCAACAAAGTCTCTGGAATCATTTGATTGTATGGTCGTAGTTTATCTACTCAGCTCTGTTTAGCATTATGCACAATATATACTGCATGGAACACTTTAAACTTTTAATACAAATGTCCTCCTGCCTCGACTACTGCAATTCATCCAGCAGTTGTCCACAGTCGGTGAAGAACGCGGCTTCAAGACTTGTTGCAAACTCTCAATGTAGAAAATACCATCTCTCCAGTCTGATCCAAACTACAGTGGCTTCCCATCTGCAACAGAATTCACTTTAAGATTCTATTAATCACTTATTAAATCACTACATAGTCTTTCTCATCTTTACGTTTCATACATTTTAACCTCTCATTACTAATAATTTCAGATCAGCGGAAATCAGTTTAATAAAAGAATAAAAACTAATCTGTATAGACTGACTGTAGTTTCATAATTTACTTTAATCAGTTTTGTTTTATTGAACAGATACAAATGAATGACAATTATTAGAAAAACAGTGTAAACACCTTTAACGCCTCAACGCAGGCTGCCTTACAAGAATTTTGACAAAATTGAACGCAGTTAAAAATAAGCTGGCGGTCTCCTGATCTAAATTAAGGGTCCTGAGGTGGTAACACTGCTGGATCCTGTCTGTCGGGGTGAGCGGAGGACTCAGTGGTTTTCAGGGAACATGACCGGTTTCCGATTAATACAGTTTTCCACAAATGTCACGCAGCTCAGATTTTTCACGCTGCTTGTTTTGTTTTCAAACTGTTAATTTCTTTTTCAAGTTTTTGTTTTTATTCTGATATGTGATCCACAATTTTTGTCACATTTCAGAAACACTGAATATTACCCCCTGATAAGATAAATATAAACTTGACTTGATTTTTAACTTGGCAGCTATTTTGATATATAAAGATAATCTAATCTCGGTTCCCTGCATATTGCCCTACACTAAAATTCTCCACCTTAACGGATACAGCTTCTAATTTGCAGATTGATTTGAAAACATTGAATGGATCGATTTTGCGTGTCTCACTTTATAATAATAGATTTAACACCTCTGGGTTTTGGATTGTTGGGCAGAGGAAACAAGACAAACAAGTCACCTTAGAATGCATGAAATCATGAACGGATGCTTTTCACTGTTCTGGTTTAAAAGACCAAGAGTTTAATACTTTATAACAAATGCCTCTGTGAAGGCCTAGCCACGCCAAATTCTCCAAACTCATATCAGATCGCTAACTATGTCTAATTTTCTCATCAAGAAAATGTCCTATCAAACAATGTTAAAGTAAGTGATATGAGCCTTGATCCCCACCAAAACTGAATTGGTTCTTCCTGACCCATAACACATCTTGAATCAAACCTGAAGTTACCTCGCTGACCACTGAACAGGTCAGTTAAGTTGACTGACGTGGTTGTTTGTTTCTCTTATACTGCTTCAGAATATTTGCGCAGGGGAAAAGGAGCCTGTCTGTAAAAAAAGCTTGCACTGAGCCAGATGTTATTTCTACTGTGCACATGGGAGCGTTCGAGCCTCATAAAGGTTCTTTGTGTCGTCCTGAGCGTGTCCCAAACTGCCTGAGACCACACTGAGGGGGGCTCCTGTTTGTGCCACTGACCTGTCCCTGCAAGAAAGAAGCGGGTGGGGAAAAAAAAAAAAAAACCCACCTACATTTCAATCCACTGCCCACACCCCCGCCTCCCAGCAGCCGCATGACTGAGCAGTTAATTGATAACAGGGAGACAATCGCGATGTGACTTCTGAGATTCAACAAACAGGGACGTGGTATTCTGGCTGTTATCATCTTGTTTTGATTTGTTGTGAGTGAGAGAAGCTCGAGGGCAGTGTCTCCATCCGACATATGACTTCAGTGGAAATTAGATCAAATATGCTGGATATCGTTTAATTCCTTCATGTCTCGTTTTCTAAATGAGCTCCTGTTATATTGAGGGGGGGTTGGGGGGCGGGGCATGTGACTGTGTTGAAAGATTTGTTATTCTGCGCTAATGAAGTGCTAATCATCCTTTAGTGTGTTGAGTGTGTGGCCAAGGTGTTGGAATGAAGACTGATGCGATCTCCCCTGTTGGGCTCAAACACCCTGAGGATAATGACCTGCCTATCAAGATTATCTGTGCCTGTTTTTCAGATGGTGATTTGCATGACTCTGCTTTAATTCAAACTAATGACTCAGCGTTGCGCCTAAATATATTACACACAATATAAATAGACTATTAACCTGAAATGGTAAACATGTTTTTATGCATATTCTTGGCTGTGGTTGTGATTTTAGGCCATTGACGGTAAACAGGAAGGATTGATTGGGGGTCAGATGAGGTTCAGGTCATACACTGATCACATTTGGGAAGTTTTCCTTTGGATTTGCACGGTTGAGATTCTGCTGAAGAAATGTGTCCAGGAAAGTCTCTGGAGTGTTCAGGTGAAGGTTGGCGTCAGGGTAGTGCAGCAGGATGGAGGACTTAATTTATGACCTCCGCTGCGGAGATTGCATGTTTTTGTTCACTGCACATTAACACCAGCGTCTGCTCTTATCACCAATACCTCTTCTTTGACATCTTTGTCTGCGTCTTCTATGTACGGCTCCACCTTTTCATCCTGATACACACTTTTTTATCTAGTGTGTCCAAACTAACAATCACAGCAAAGCGTATGTTTCCTTGGTATTAATGATGTTTACATTATGTATCTCATTTACACAGGCTGCAAAGTGTAAAGTTATTGTTTATAATACACATGTATATGTACATATGGCTCATATATGGGATTTGTTTACCCATGAAGAGCAAAATATGTTTTGTGAATCAAATCAAATCGAATCGTACTTTGTGTGTAAAGTTTCAAGTAAGTCTGACTCTGTGTAATCATCTCATTGATTTCAGACATTTATGGGGTCAGTGTCAATGAGTGTGTGCAATTCCACCTTCGAATGTGTTCTGGGTGATCAGATCTCAATGCATCATGGGTGAGCTCACACTCGTAGTGTTTGCTGTCCAGCGGTGATCGTATCGCCAGAGACAGATGTTAATACCTGGTCTGAAGAGGACCTTTGTCACTTAATGAAAGCAGCTCAAGGGCTCTTATGTGGTTCCTTATCAGCCACAACGTCAGGGTCTGTTTAATTAAGTTGGTCAAATGACACAAGAGTTGTAAGAATATTGGACACCAAAGATGGAATCACACAACTAATGTAATGGAAATAATCAATGAAAAATGTTTGTCATGATGCAGCGGTGCCTGGAGACCGTATCGGAGGGTGGGCCCAGGAGTCCTCCAGGCAGGCAGGGACTGACACCTTGACAGAGAGACACTGCCTCCACCTCCTGCACTGCCACCGCCACCATGGCCAGGGAGCAGCCCAATGTGGGGGACCTCCTCCCACTCCTGGAGACCTCCGACCTCCACCAGCTAGAAGAGATCAGAGGCCTTATCAATGAGCAGCTGAGCACCGGTAGGACCATTTGGATTGATTTGTGTCAGCTTGTTTTGTCAATGTGGTGAGGTTAGATAAATGAATCATTTATTTCTCCTGCTTTTCGTAAAGAGCGAGGGTCCATGCTGCTGAACGGCCTGGTGGAATACTTTTTGGAAACAAATTCTACCCAGGCCATGCATATCCTCTCCTCAGTCAGAGAGCCACATGATAAGGTGAGAGACATCACAACATAATCTTGCTCACAGGATTTAAAGTTTAAAATGAAATCAATTAATTCCAATGAAATCACTGCTGCGAGGACATTTACTCAGATCTAACCCTGCCGCACCTCCTCCCCCGACTTCCTCACAGCACCTTCTGGACAAGATGAATGAGTGCATGACCAAGCAGGCCTGCCGACTGCCCACCCTCACCCTGCTCGGCCATGTAATCCGCAAGCAGCCGTCCTGGATCCACAAGATAGCTCGATACCCCCTGCTGCTCTCGCTGCTCAAATGCCTCAAGGTAACGGCCCAGTTATACCCAATTAAATCTCTTTGTTAGGCATTGAGAGGTTTTAGGATGAAATTAGACTCATTTATTCAACAAATCTTCTTTTCATTGTGTGTTTTTTATCATTTTGGAGGCACATGAATTTGTCACTCGAGTTCCCACAAATTCTCTTTCGCAGACGGACACGGACGTAGTTGTGCTGATAACTGGAGTGCTGGTGTTGATCACTCTGCTACCCATGATCCCTCAAGCGGGGAAACAACACCTGTGGGAGTATTTTGACATCTTCGGCCGCCTGGCATCCTGGAACCTTAAGAACCCTGGTAGGAGCCTCTATCTTTCTAACCTAATGCTAAAAAAGTAGAATAGAAAAAAGTGCTGCCCATAGATGCACTGTATGAAAGCGGTATATAAAATCCAGATTACTTTTACACTTTGAGCCTTTTGCTTGAAAGTAACTTGCAGTATGAGTTGAATTTGTTACGCTGGAGTTCACATTTGTGGATTTTTACACATTCAGGGCATATTTCGGAGGTTTATCTAATCCATCTGCACGCCAGCGTCTATTCCCTCTTCCACCGCCTCTACGGCATGTACCCGTGCAACTTTGTGTCCTACCTGCGATCCCACTACAGCATGAAGGAGAACATGGAAACATTTGAGGAGGTAGTAAAGGTGAGAACTTTACCCCTGCTGCTCTGCTGTGCTGCTCTTCTTGGGCAAATGATCTCTAAGATTAATTTTGTGTCCAATCTTTCACTCAGCCGATGCTTGAACACGTTCGTATACATCCTGAACTGGTGACTGGAACAAAGGACCATGAGCTTGATCCCACAAGGCAAGTTGCACGCTGCTGTACCAAACTCAGTTACATCTTCTCTACTGCATGACTTTGACATATGGTGCTGTGTTTCTCTGTAGGTGGAAAAAGTATGAAATCCACGATATCGTCATCGAATGTGCCAAAGTGTCTCTAGACCCCAAGGAGGCCTCCTGTGAGGAGGGTTACGCCACCATGCCTGAGAGCTTTTACCCCCAAATCCACATGCGACCACAAGACTGCGCTTCCAGCCCCTACACAGACCTCCACAGCAGCTATCGTCAGAAAACATGTTATATAGATATTTAGCTATTTATAAGCTGGTGTGCACATTTTATCTGCTGTTAATAATTATTTTTTTTACACAAATGCATGATTATCAATATACATACTTTCTTTTTTTGTTGTATAGCTCAAAACAATAAGAAATCCATTTTATTTCCCACATTAAACATTGAGCAGCTGTGTCCACAAGAGCACAGAAACCTGCAGCTTGCTGCCATTCGAAGATTGATCAGGCTATTTTATTTTTGACAACAGGAAGCTCTTCTTCGACCCCATTCTCAACTCCACGGCAGCCGTTACCCCCGCCCCTGTCCTTGCCCCCCTTACCAGGGACACAGCCCTCCTACCGCAGTCCACAGACCTCCAGACGCCAGGTAAGATCATCCATAATCCGGTCAAAAGCTGTCAAAATCTTGGTTTAATACACAAGGCCGGTAAGTAACTGATGATCAGAGGTAATACCAGAGCACCATGCCGTTAAGCTTCTGTTTGCTGCTTGCTGTCGTACACAGGGTCATGTTTACGCTTCATGTATCATCTGTCAGATGTGGTGAGATAATTGCTCTCCTCCAGAATCCCCCACAAAGCCCTCAATTAGAGCAACCACTAACCGCCATGTTTTGCAAGGCGTGGAGAGAAAGTGGGCCGACAGACAGTTTTTGACTCATCAGAGTCGGCGAGCTGGCAGACCAGTGGGTCAAGCTTCAGGAATTACAACAAATCCTCACCCTGATTCCCCTCTGTAGACGCCCCTGAGGGCTGGTTGCGTTGCAGATACTGTCTCCTGCTTTCTATTATTGGCCCAGTCACAAGAGGCAGGGGTCTGGGTTTGTTTATCGGTGGGACCTCGATACTGTGGCTCCATCCCCTGATTGCAACTGAGCAGACTCTGGCTGGCTAAGTGTTCATATCTGTTTTTAATTGCATGTTTTTGTCAGATTTGTGATAACTGGGTGTTTGTGGTCTTTTTCTTTGCAGAACTCAACCTGTGAACTCAACTCTTCCTGCGGGGGGAAGGATCCTCTGTGGAGCCCCTCCTCGTTGTGTGGCATGGCCACTCCCCCTTCCTCCAGGGGCATGTCGCCCAACTTGGAGCTCTCCCACAGTGCCTCACACCTTCCCAGCCGCTTCCACTGCACATCAGGTACAGGTTACATCATGACAAGATATTTCAACTCTGCACCAGTGGGGTTTTTTTGTGTTGCACTTGAGTGACGCTGTGGAATTTTCATTTTCCGATTGTTTTGGTCTGAGCAGGAGGGAAAGGAACGCCTGCCTCAAGCACTCCAGCCCCCTCTTCTCCACCACCCACCCTATCAGATGACTTTCCCATAATCTCATTACCAGCCAACACAGTCCAGTCCAGTCCCCCAAGAAAGGTATGTTCTCTCCTCCATTTTAAAAACATTTCCTTGGATCTCTCCTAGTTTTCAAACCGTCCCCTCAGTGAGTTTGAAATGTGCAGGAATCCATTTCTAAAAGACGAATGTCCTGAAGGACTTCATGAACTGTTGATTTTGAATTTTAATCAAGTTATGATAAGCCAGTTGAATCCTTTCCCTACTGTGTCAATTAGAGACATCCAAACAAATGTGAAAAACACGCTGTCATTTCAAATGATCTCGTTAGTCATTTTGAAAACTCATTTCCTTGACAGTGGGAGGCAAAGTCTTTGATTTGTGCTCAGAAGTTAACCAATAGGATAAAAGATAACGTAATTAAAGTTGTTTGTAATTATGATTATTAGTTGTAAACTAAAAACCTGTATCTGTCAGGAACTTGTGTTGAAGTGGTTTGCACAAAAGCAGTGAGGCGCTTTCAAAGTTCTCTAGTACTGACCTGCAGGTTATTCAATTAACCTAAACCACAGTAAATACAAGAAATTCTTCATTTCATTATAAAACTGTCAATGCCGGGACTTTTCAGGATCGGCGACAAGGAGACAGTAAACCCACGCTGATGCGTCAGGAGCCAGTGAAAGACACGGAGAAGAGTTCAGAAATAACAGCAAATAGAGGTGAGTCATGATGAGTCTAATTACTGCAGTTTATTACATTAAATTTAACATTAGAGGACTTTTTACAGGCCCGAGCTCATGCAATATAATTTAGACTTGGCTGCACTGAGATCTCCGGTTGGAAGACCTCTCTTTGTGAATCCAAATGAAGAATTATTGGATCACAAGTTTTATTGAGGTGGAAATCACCGTCCCAAAAATAGCCAAAACAGATTTGTATTGTTAGTTTTGGTATTTTTTGCTATTTCATGTGAACTTTTTCTGATGCAGATGTTTCCTCTTTAGATGCAGGAGCTGCTGAGAATGTCTCCATGACTTTGACAGAGCTGTCGGTCTTCATGAAGAAACAGGAGCTGGAGCTTCAGCTGAGAACAGAGAAGGAGAGGGAAGAGGGTGAGCGTTGGTTTGAGTCTATGTATGTATGTATGTCAGAATGACCCAGTTTGTGTGTGTGTGTGTGTAATAACACACACGCATATATAAAGAAAATGAATAATGTTGATAACTGAAAACAACACTAATGGAGCAGAAGTGAAAAGAGTAAAAGTAAAAAAGTGCCCCTGGGATCCCTACAAATAAATTTGAGAGCTGACACCATACATCACAACATAAAATAAATATAGACCTCCATATATCCATGGGAACCATTAAATGGACATCTCATAATTAAGAATCTACACAAACCAGAGTTATATCTAAATATCCTGGATACACACAGATCTCTGTTTAGATCCCCGTGTGTTTCACCAGCTCCACACAGGCTTTGGTTTAAATTCCGCCTGTGCCAAAAATAAATACACCTTTTGACACCGGTTGTGAGTGTTGGAATAATAAATGGAAGATGCACAGGTTCATGAAAAGTGTTGTTTCTGCTGTAGCTGCCATCACAGAGGAGCTGCTGAAGATCACCGAAGATACACAGGAGCTGCCGGGCCTGAGGGGCTTCGACTCCCCTTTCTATCACACCACTGAGACTCTGACTGGCTGTCAGGCACAAGACAAGACCCACTCCAGCGCCCAGCCTGAAGGCCCCATCCGGGACCCCCACCGTGTTGTATCAACGCCAGACAAAGCGGAGAACACAGCGAGCACCAGCGGCGTTGGCAGTGAAAGAGGAGGTGGAGGAGCAGGAGGAGACAGCAGGAGTTCAGCCCTCGGCCTCGAGCAGTCCTGGTCCTTCCAGTCCGGTTTCACCCCGATCGATCACCACCTGCACCGGTGTCCCTCCGCCCCAGACGACGAGGTGAGCAAGTTGGGGATGTTCTCCCCAAGCCCGTGCAGCAAGACGCCAGCCCCTGTGCCCTACGAGTCGTTTTTCGACCTGGCTCTGCCCAGGGCGGCTTCGCTCTTCGTGGGCCAGAAGACATCAGAGGCGGTGCACAAGGCGGCGATGGAGAAGCTGCTACAGCAAGAGGAGGGATTGGAGGACGGGGAGGAGGAAGGGGTAGTGACTGCTTCACCACTGGAGGTGCTGGATCGCCTTGTTCAGCAGGGGAGCGACGTCCATGATAAAGTTCTTAAGAGGTGAGGGGCTTGTAAAATCTGTTTGGATTAGGCGGTTTGCTTAATCTGTGTAAAATGTGATTGAAGCTTTCTTTGTAAACAAAAGTGACCCTCAGTAATTGAGCCACAGAAAGTAAAGACCTGCTGCTGGACTCTACAGAACCCTGAAGCTGCACCACCGCTGCTGCAGTTGTAGCTGTTCTCTTGAGCAACAATGTAATCTACGCTGCTGCTAAAGAACGCCGGCCGCCTGTTTATTCAAAGTTTATTATATTGAATCTATCATGTGTCCACATCTCATCAAATTCGACAGTGCTCTCCAACTGCACATCATAAATGCTATTGCCCAGTGTCTGTTTTATGGAGAGGATCGTGAGATACCTTCTCTGCAGTTCTGTGAATGTTTGGTCAATGTGAAGCTCATGTTGATCACCGAAGAAACCCAGGAGTGTGTTTTGATGAGTGCTTCACTCTGCAGAGGCTGCTTGGGTTGTTTCCAGCCTGTTTCAGTGGCCCAAAGGAAACACCCAGTCGAGAACAAGCATGACATTGTTCAGGAGTTGCCACCCCCTTCTTTCGACACACACACACACACACACACACACACACACACACACACACACACACACACACA